CCCTGAGGAAGCTTGATCTTGAGCCTACTAGAGAAAGACTTTGGATTAGCTTTTTAAAATATGTTGAAAAAAATGAAAGGAAATTATGTGTAAAGAACTAAAGGAAAGTATAAGAGTGACATCTGACCAAACAGGAAATATTAATAAAGTCATAAAAATTATTTTTTAAAAATAACCAAATAGAAATTCTGAAGTTACAAAATTCAATAACTGGAATGAACAGTTCACTAGAGGATCTCAAAGGCAGATTTGAGCCGGCAGAAAAAATAATTGGTGAACATGAAGTAGGTCAACCAAGATGATGCATTTTGAGAAAGAGAAAGAAAAAATAATGAATAAAGATGAACAGAGCTTCAGAGATCTGTGAGACACTATCCTAAACATGACAACATATCCATACTGGGAGTCCATCCCAGAAGAGAGTGTCAAAGGGCAGAAGGTATTTGAAGAAACAATGGCCAAATACTTCCCAAATTTGATGAAAAACATTCAGCTACACATTCAAGAAGATCAATAAAGTCCAAGTTAGATAAATTCAAAGAGATCCACACCTAGATACATCATAATCAAACTGTCAAAAGACAAAGCAGCAAGAGAGAAAATATTACATCCAGTGGCACCGGCCCATAGAGGAACCAGCCAGTCAACTGATGGCAGGTTGGTTTCATTGGACTATTTGCATCATGGAGGTGGCATCAACGTGTCCAGTTTAACAGACATTTATTGTCAAAGTGGATTTGCCTTCCTTGCTCTCAATGCTTGTACCAGCAACACCATCCGTGGTCTTGCAGAATACCTTACTCGTCGTTAGTTACCACATACAACATTACTTCTGACCCAGGAATTCACTTTATGAAAAAATACCACAGTAGTAGGTTCACACATTCATAGGATTCACTGGTCTTCACATGTTACCCACTACCTAGAAGCATCTAGCATAATAGAATGCTCAAATAGCCCAATGAAGATTCAATTATGGCATCAATTGAAAGACAACACACTCTAAAGTTTGATACTATGACAGATGGAAACGTGTGTGTAATGTCTAAAGACTACATTCCACGGCTAGAAAAAACTCTAAAATACACACACATACATAAATGTCACTTTTGTTGTCATTTCTTATAGACTTACCACAGTCTGAAGATCAGCATTTGAGAATCATTGAGTTGCCAGATTTTCTGGGCCCGTAAAATATTTTTTAAAAAATGGCTGAGGAGAAGCACAACTATCCCTGAAAACATATTGAGACAAAATATTTCTCCTTCAGATTCTTATAAAAGGGGATTGATGCAATCAACCTCTTCAGCCACGTTCTCACTATAAAGACAGCAATGAGATCTCCGATACGTACAGTACGCTGACCCTCACTATAAACAGATCATTACCTTATCAGGTCTGCATTTTTTGTACCACTATTTGTCTACATCCTCATATGGTAGCTCTTCTTCCTACGTATCTTGGTTTCCTGATTGAACCACAAGCTCCCACTGGACAAGGAGTGTTTCTAATATTTATTTCTACTCTGTCCCTCACCCCATAATACCTTACACAGTAGAAACTTGATAAATTATATTGATCAATATCAACTTCCCTTTTGTCAAAATGGTTAGCAAGGACTCAGAGCAAGGCCAGAATAAATGATAAGCGGCAACTGGGTTACATATAAGACAATATTGAATGAATGGATGGATATATTTGAAATCATTAGAACAATGCTTTCCAAACAAGGATGTCACTGTTGGATGCGTATGAAATGCCTCGTTTTTGTCTTGTAGCAGAGCAATGACCTAATGAGGAAAGACACTAACATTTATTCAGCAGCTGTAATGTGCCAAACAGTTGTGGGTACTTTACATACCGTTATCTCATTTAATTCTCACAACAAGGTAGGTGATATTTCCCTTGTTATGCAAATAAGAAAACAGTCCCAGAGAATTTCAGTAGTCATTTAAAAGCACAGAAATAATTAAATAGTAAATCTGGAATTTAAACCCAGGTCTGTGTGACACTCCACCACATCAAGCATCAGTATCCTCAAAATAAATAAGATATAAGGCAATATTTTCAAACTCTGAAACAAAGCATTTAAAATTACTAATTTAGGGGCCGGCCCCATGGCCGAGTGGTTAAGTTTGCATGCTCTGGTTTGGCAGCCCAGGGTTTCACTGGTTCGAATCCTGGGCATGGACATGGCACCGCTCGTCAAGCCATGCTGAGGTGGCATCCCACATGCCACAACTAGAAGGATCCACAACTAAAAAAAATGCACAACTATGTACCAGGGGGCTTTGGGGAGAAAAAGGAAAAATAAAATCTTAAAATAATAATAATAATATAATAAAATAAAATGACTAATTTAATTAGTAATACATGAATATACCCTCATCGTAAAGAACTCATCCCATATAGAGCGAAAGTCCCGTTCACCGCAGTCTCGCTTCCCACAGTGTTTGGTGACTATCACACCAGACCTTTTTCTATGTGTTGATTTGCATATATATATAAACATATAGAAAATATAGGCCTGGGAAGTAATACTAATCTATCATTCTACAACTTGCTTTTTTTCACTGTGCATTAGATAGCTCTTCTTGTCAGTTCTTACGGATTTAGCATATTCGTTTTAACTACTATGCAGCCTGTCATAGTACAGACATGCCACTATTTATAAACCATTCCCAAACTACCGGATGTTTCAGATTGTTTCCAGTTCTAATTGTTATTAACAATGCTGCAATAAACAATCTTATGCATTATGTCTGTTTTTGCACATCAGATTTTTCACTAGGATAAATACATAGAAATGGAATTGCTGGTCAAAGGGTATGCATAATTATTAAAACAGTAGATGCTGCCATATTGCCTATATCGCCTTCACAAAAATGCTTTACCTAATTATCCTTGCACCAATGGGAGGAAAATACATTTTCTCCCACATTCACAACACTGGCAAAAATTAAAGGGATTAATAACAATCAAATGAGAGAGAGAGAGAGAAAGGAAGGAAGCGCTCTCTGACTCCTAGTGAAGTGGATCACGTTTACTGGGTTTACTGGGTACATGTATTTCCTAATCTTGTGAATTGCCTGTACTTCTGGGTTGTCTTTTTCCTACTGATGTCAAATTCTTTATCTATTCTGGATATTAATCCTTTTTTTTCCTGTTATATGTTTAAAGTATTTTTTTCCCTACTTATGGCTTACTTTTTAACTTTATTGTATCTTTTTAAATAGAGAAGTTTTTGTGTTAATGCAGTCAAATTTACCCATCTTTTCCTTTGACAGTTCCTGGTTTGTATTGGGTTTCTGTTTGTTGGTGTATATCTGGCTTTTTAATTCATCTGAGTTATTTTGGTTATGGTGTGAACTAGGAATATAGTTCACTTGTTTTCCAAATGGACAGCAAGTTGTCCCAATACCATTTACTGAATAGACCATCTTCCACAACAAATTTAAAATACTTTTTTATCATATGCTGAATTTTGTTACATATTAGTCTGTTTCTGGATTTTTTATTGTGTTCCATCCAACATTTTCCTAACGTTTCCAAAGTTTCTTGGCTTTCCTACTGCATTTTTTTCTTCCAAATGAATGTTTGAATCAGCTGGTTGAATTACAGAAAAGACTCTATTAGATTTTGGGGTGTGCTTTAGACTTATGTAAATTCCATCGGCGTCCACTCATATTCCTTTGACCCAGCCTGGAGGCCATCACCAACCTAAGACGAGAGTTCCCATACACAGTGATGGCTTCCTATCTCAAACCCCTGCATTTCTCTGGGCACAAAAGCATCATTAGTCAGTATGCTGAGAAGTTAACAACCCCAGGAACAACTCCCAACAACTGAGGAACAGAAGTTGGCGGGTGGGTCCCCAGCAGCCCCACTCTCAGTGGAATAGCTCTGAGGCGTGTTCCACCTCTGTTTCAGAGGTTCCCCAGGAGGGCTGAGCCCCAGTGCCCACAGCGGTCCTTCCTCTGAATGCTCTCTTTATTAGTTTTCCTCTTTTCCTGTCTTACATCCCCACTCCTTCACCTGATTCCCAAATAAACCCCTTGTACCCAAATCCCTGTCTTGAGGCTGCTTTTGGAGGATCCCACCCTAAGACCATTTATTGATCGATTCAGGAAGAACTTATATCCTTTACAATACCGAATATTCCCAAAACAAAACTGTTAAGAAAATTTATTCACTTCTTGTTAGTTCCAAGATAAACATTTCCAGACTAAGTTCACTTAGTTCAACTCCGTCTCCCACTCTCTCTCACGACAATGATTAAGGAGACCCAAGGCTCTTTCCGCTCTCACCTGTAGGAGAATATTCCCGAACGTCAAACAGTGCTCCCTTGTGTAGTCTCCTAGGACCACTGGGGACAGTCTAGCTTTTACCCAAAAAAGCTTTGATGGGTAAGGACAGTAAATTAAATAAAATAACTGGTCCAAATCCCTGCTGTGCTAGACTCAGAGTTCCCTGCCTGTTAGACTTACTGTCCCATTTTATGTCCAGCCACGTTGTCCCATACAGATCACCAGAAATTATAAGACCAAATGACAATATAATAATATTTTGTAATACAGGTCAATAATATAATAATGTTCCAAATTTGGATATAACCATCCTCCCATCATTAAATTTTCAAAATAAAATTAAAGTCCAAAGAACTTCAACACAAAGTTCTTTAGTAGGAGTTCAAGGGAATTAAAATTGAAATCAACTCCCCAAAGGTTATTTTTCTGCTTAATCTCAGTCAGAGGGGCTTGCTCAGCTCAAGTCAGAGTTCTATCAGCAGCTTCAGCATGCGGTGTTGTCCACTGGAATGGGAGCAACTCCTTCCAAAGTTGCATTAATGGAACCCAAATCCTTCATGTACCTCTCCTTTAAAGAAACCCAAGGGTGAACTGAGCACAAGAGTGTCTCAGCATACATCCCTAAATTTAGAAAATACAAGCAAACCCTCTACCGTACAAAAATCATTCTATTCACAATGACATACCCTGAAACCAATTTTTATTCTTTATTATTTTAATAAAAATACATAGCACAGCCCCGGTGTCATCTGAGGATAAGGTAGTCTGAAAAATCCTCTTGGTCTCAGCCTTGCTTGAACACCAGTCACGCTATGCCAGTTGTCCAGAATCCATGATCTGTGCCCCTAGAATCAAGTGGGCAATATCACACATCAACCGGTTAATTAGAACACTGTATTTCTTGGAGGGTGGGAGGGAGGAATCCAGCTATCCTTGCTGTCTTCCCTTCTTGCATATTCAAAACTTTACCTTTTCCATTCCCATCTGAACCTTTGGCCCCTGGCACCCCAGTGATGCACTGAGAATGTGTTCCTGGTAAGGACATCACCTCTATATTTTTTTTTGTGAATAGCCATTTGCAATCCAAGCCACAGGTTTCCTGTTATGGAAATGTATAGGTCCATGAAATCTGCTCTTTGGGGCAATTTCACTCTTAAGAGATCAAATACACAAAGAGACAACGGTCAGACAATAGAGGAAAATAAAACTCTCTGACCCACAACTTCTGCAGCAACTAGTCCAGGAAGCCAAACCACAACCTCTGCAAGAACCAGCTCAGAGGGTCAGGACTTGGTCAACGACTGCCAACTTTCCAAATTTTTGCTCCCAGTTCCAACTCAGGACCAACCAGAGAAAGCCCACTAGGTTCCCCAGATCAAGCACACAAGCTGCCCCACTTCTGGTTCCCCTGCTTCCAGATTCCCTGAGCCAATAACCTCCAAGCAGAACACACTGGAAGGCTTCCCCATTTTTCACAATAAAGCTCTCTGATCCCCTCTTGCCTTTGAGTTTCTGCCAAACCCAAGTGATGGTGGCTGACTCCCTTGCTACAGCAAACTCTGGAAATAACCTCTGTTTGTTCTCATTTGGATGGTCTCTGTTTATTTCCATAACCTCAACACCACAATGAATCCTGACGGTTTCATCTTCAGCATCTTCATGATACTGCTCAGGGGTGGCTCTGAAGCCTGTGTCCCAGGGCCTAGCAAGAGCTTACCTCTAGTGTATGCTCCTAGAGACCCTGCCTTTCTTCTGCTTTTGAAAATTCCAGGCCTTTAACATTTCCTTCTGTTCCATCTGTATTCTCCATGGGTGTGATGGGCCTCTGGTGTCCCACGTCCCTCTGTTCCCATCAGAAGCCTCAGCTGAGAGACAGCAGTTTAACTTGCTTCTTAAAGGGACCTCCAGCCTTCCCTATTGAGGGGATGAAACTGCTTGCTGGCTTAGTACTTTCTTTTTTTCTTTCTTTTTTTTTAATTTTTATTTTTTTCGGATGTACATCATATTTCGAATTCTGTATACATTACATCATGTTCACCACCCTAACACTAATTATAGTCCATTCCCTCACATGTGAGGGGGCTAATCACCCCTTTTGCCCTCCCCTCTTCCCCAAAGGTAACCACCAGTCCAATCTCCGATGCTATGTGTGTTTTTTTTGTCGTTTTTATCTTCTACTTATGAGTGAGATCATATGGTATTTGACTTTCTCCCTCTGACTTATTTCACTCAGCATAATACCCTCAAGGTCCATCCACGTTGTCACAAATGGCCGGATTTCATCATTTCTTATGGCTGAGTAGTAGCCCATTGAGTATAAATACCACATCTTCTTTATCCATTCATCCCTTGATGGGCACCTAGGTTGCTTCCATGTCTTGGCTATTGTGTATAATGCCGCAATGAACACAGGGGTGCAAGTATCTTTATGCCTTTGTGTTTTCAAGTTCTTTGGATAAATACCCAGCAGTGGGATAGCTGGATCATATGGTAGATCTATCCTTAATTTTCTGAGGATATTCCATACTGCTTTCCGTAGTGACTGCACCAGTTTGCACTCCCACCAGCAGTGAACAAGGGTTCCCTTCTCTGCACACCCTCTCCAACATTTGTCATTTCCTGTCTTGTTAATTATAGCCATTCTGACCGGAGTGAGGTGGTACCTCATTGTAGTTTTGATTTGCATTTCCCTGATAGCTAATGATGTTGAGCACCTTTTCATATGCCTGTTGGCCATCTGTATATCTTCTTGGAGAAATCTCTGTTCAGATCTTTTGCCCATTTTCTAATTGGATTAGTGCTTTCTTATTGTCTGCTTTCATATTGCTTTTCTGGCCCAGACATTTGTCTTTCCAACTTACTCCTCTAGAGTTTGCCTTTTGGGGTTCCCAGAGAATCTGATACCAAGTCAAGGAGTGAACAGTTTACAAAGCATACAATTTTCAAACAAATCTTTTCGATCTTCACTTTCTGAGTTGTTCAATCCCCCTCAGGAGGCATGACCTCATCAGATCAATAGCCAACTCAGGACTGACCTCATTTAATTTTATTTTGCCTGGCCCCCTTAGAGTAGGTCTTATTTGCCCTGGCAGGTTCCCCTTGGGGCAAAGGCATTTCCTGCTTTCCCATCTATGATAACAGAACCACCTACAAATTCACCACCCAATGCCTTGAGAATTTTATCCTGGCTTCTCAGGCCTCCTCTTCACATCTGTCCAAATATTGTGCATGCTGTCTCAGCTCTCGAGGGACACGTACCCAACTGTTCTTCTTCGGGAATATCTATCTGCAGTTTTATAGAGACATCCCTCATCCATTTCCTAAATTCAGAATTCCTTCAGGAATTATTCCCATCTCCTCCCTGAGATCCATTACCTTTTCTGGTCTTAGAGCAGCTGTACAGCAATCCCTTCATTAAGGAGGAAGACTCAGACGGAAGTACTTCTCCCAGCCATTCTTAGGTCTACTAATCTGGCCTCCCAGAGCTCATTTTCTGTGTCATATTTGCCTAGACTGGGTGCTAAGATCTTAGTCATTCTGCTAAAGAAACTCCCCCTTTTTCCACCTTAATCTGCTGTCTTCCTCTTTTGTTTCCTTTTATTCTTCTATTTGCCCCTGTTTTGATAGTGAGATCAATGCATGATGTAAATAATTTCCTTCATCTCCTGAGCAAACCTGGTCCCTGCGGAAATAGACCTTTGTAATTATCTTCTTTTCTTTGGAGATACAGTAATTTAGTTGTTTATTTTCTTCGACCATAGGAAGATGTCCCATCCCTATGCCATAAAGGCCTCCACTCAGGTTCACGGTGTAAGTCTACAGCCTGGCACTCTAAAATCGAAAATGAGATGCAATCTCATCTAGTTAACAGAGCAGAACTCCCTATATAAATTCCTAGCTCTGACCACGACCCTGAGGTTAGAAAGAAAACAGAAAGAGGTAGATAATTTTAGACTAACTCAGACCCTCCTGGCGTATCTTCAGCTGCATGCTAGATTTGCAGAGAAAACACCTGAGTTTTGTCCGAGTTCTGCCATTTAACTGACTGACGTTGGTGTTCATTCTTGGCCTGTTCCCTGCCTTGGCATTCCCCATGCTTTGGTTGTATCATGTACACTTACCTCTTCCCTTGACAAAGCACTTATCAAAACCAGCGCCACTCGGCCAAGACATCCTTCTGGAAACGTGGCTCTCCTAGGTGTTCACTCTGTAGCCCCACAAACAGCAGTGTCACCTACCCAACCCTGCATCAGCTCCAGGACGGGTTCTTTGCTACCTCGGCCCTGCGCTGGTTTCAGTTCTGCCATGAGGCAGTGTGGTACAGTAATAGCAGTATCACTACTAAAATTAAACCCTTGTTATTATATAGTTACACTATTACTATATGATATTTATAAAATGACTACACATTTAAGTCAATTATTTTATTATGTATGCTATAATAAGACTTACTTATACAATATTATATTTTTTTATTTAGAGTAAAATGTAAGCTCCAGGGGAACAAGAATTTTGTCTTATACACTATATTCCCTTCATCTGGAACAGCGCCTGCTACATCATAGATGCTCAGTAAATATGTGTTGAATTAATAAAGGGTTAAGAGCAGAGACTAAAATCAGACTATTTGGACCCAAATCTGAGTGCCGTCACTTACTGGCTGTGTAACCCTAGATGAGGTAGTTAAGCTTTCTCAGGCTCAGTTTCCTTCTCTATAAAATGAGGAGAATGGTGATGGGGACAGGCTGTGTTGTGAGAGTTAAGAGAGCTCATCAATACGAAGAGTTTGGCACATAGTACTTGACCCAGAGAGAGAGCTGAATCAATGTTAACGTTATTTGTCCAACTGCACACTCGTAGCTCCTCTCAAATGTCCCATAAGAGCACATTAGACTGCACGTGCCCCAAATCATATTTGTTTTCTAACCATTCACCCATTCTCCGAATCTGCAAAGTGAGAGATCATCTTCAATTCCTGCCTATTTCTCACCCACAATCGCATTAGACACCAAGAATATTGTTTCAACATGTCTCAAACCAACTGCCTTTTCTCAGACCAATGGGCAAAGTCCCTCCTCTGTGTCTCCAATTATATGGGACAGTGTGGTAAAGCCATCCCTTTCCCATAGCTTTTGTCACCATGAATAGATGTTGACTTACTAATCTATTTCCCTTCCTGAACGGCAAGCTCCCCAAGGCCCGCTAGCTTATCTTGTTCCTTTTCAAGGAAAATAGCACAGTGTCCACACTTAGTCATCAGTAAATACCTCTCAGAAAATAATGCTAAATAATAAAGGTTCCACAGATATTGTAGGGGATCTGGCCCAACCTCCATCTTCTACTTCAGTATCAACGGCCTACCTCTATTGTTGAAGCTATAAATGCCAAAAGCTCATTTTCTCAGCCTCTCTTGTAGTTAGGTGTGACCATGGGACACAGTTATATCCATGAGGCAAAAGCAGATAGCCTTTGGTGCCAGCTCCTCCCTTTCTTACTTTTTCCTACTGTTATGAACTAAATGTTTATATCCCCCACCAAATTCATATGTTAAAGCCCTAAACTTCAGTGGTGAGACCTTTGGGAAGTAAACAGGTTAGATGACGTCATGAGGGTGGGACCCTCGTTATGTGATTAGTGTCCTCCTCTTATAGAAGAGATACCAGAGAGCTTGCCCTCCCAATCTCTCTCTGCCACATGAGGACACAGCTTAGAAGACACCATCAAAAGCCAGGAAATGGGCCCTCACCAGGAACAGGATCAGCCAACACCCTTTACCAGCTGGTGGGCCCATCCCCCAGCTGCTGCACACGTTGCAGTTAATGGCTCACCTTAGCAATCTTTGCCACAGAATTGTACTTGGCTGACAAGAGTCAGCTGGCCAGGAGATGCCTAGAAGTTAATACACCCAAGGAAGGAGGGGGACAGTGGCAGGAAACTGGCTAATAAGGGGTTAAGAAAAAAGCCCAGCCCCTTGCCTGAAGGTGAGGCAACTCTGTGGCACTGTTTATTCTCCAGGACCCCCAGGAATCAAGGCCAGGATAGATTTTTACCTTGGACCACTGCCTTGCACGACTCCTTGCCCTTTGCAATCCTGCTTCCCCCACACCCTAACAGGTTATTCCTGAAGAGCACGCCCTCAATAAGTCACGTGTACCCAAATCTCTTTCTCAGGTTCTCTTTCTAGGGACACCAACCTAAGACACTTACCTACAAATTGCTTACTTTAAGAGTATCCTTTCTTGAAATGAGGAGCAGGTATGCCAATACCCATGCCACTATCTGGGATCTTAAGCCATTCATGCTGTAAGATTCTTCACAGGCCCACTGGAGATGCCTTTGTCTTCCTGCATGTTATTGCTCTACATCAATTAGAAGCTTCAGTGAGGCCCCATGGTCTTGCAGCACTAACAGAAAACTCGGAAGCAGAAATTGATTAATTTCTCACTCCATCAAAGTTTAAGACGTCAGGGATCTCAGAACACAGATGGGGGATTTTGAGATTAGGTTCCATTCTGTGAGCAAACATGGTAGGAAAAAACTTATTTGCCTGATGTATAATAAAAGGGCATCTCTTTTAGTTCCCAAATTTTGCCTGCTATGACTGAACTGCCGAAGGATACGGAAAACCTCAGGTTACTCCAGGAAGGGTGAATTTGGAGAAAAGTCAACACTAGTCTTCAGATCTCAATGTTTTAAAAGAAGCCCACTCTCTATTATAAATAAATGTCCATCAAGAATAAGTAATTGTAGGAAAAACAAAACCTTGGTAAGTGGTGTGTGACAAATAGCCCATTTCTTCAAGCGTATATAGCAAGGGTCATTTTATATAAACTAAACATAGATGCGGGCAGTGTAAATATTAATGTTCAAAATGTCAGAAACTAACTGACAGGAAACAGGAAAATTGGGAAGGTAGGGAGTAGAGGAAAGGATATGAATGAAAGAAACTAAACAAGACACAAAACCACGTTCGTATTTTAGCTAATTGGAATAGGAGCTAGAGAAAACAATTTGTGGAAGTTATCATGGATGGACACCCAGGAAGAGAAATTAGAAGAGGGAGAGAGTCAAGTTCAAGAACCTAAAAGGATAGAGCACCATCTTAGGGCCTGGGGAACTTCCTAGAATAGCCACTTTGGGCCTGAAGACATGCCTAGAAAATGGCGTACCACATCCTTGATCTTCGTGTTCTAGAAGGCAGAGAAGTACCACAAAGTGAGGGGAGGAGAAGTTCATAGACATCCTTCTTTTCAGTGGCCTGAAAAGAGCAGAAAAAAGTAAGAGGAGAGATGAACCTTATCTTTGAGTTTGACACAACTTTTTGCTGTGTACCTGGCATTTATGAAACCAAAAGTGTTCATACTCTGAGATTTCTCATCCTATAGCTAACCACTTTAATATGGTTAAAAACACAAATTCTGGATTAGACTTCCTGGGTGAAATCCAATCTCTGCCACTAATTAGTTGTTTTACGTAAAGCAATTTAACCTCTCCTAACTCAGTTTCCTGATCTGTAAATGAGAATGTTACCAGTACCCACCTCATGAGAGATATTGCGCGGAAGAAATGAGTTAATACCCATCAAGTAGTTAGACCAGTATCTGGCTCGTGGTGAGTGCTCAGTCACATATTAGGCATTATTATTACATGAGACACAATTCCACCAGGTAGTAGAAGGTCCACAGAAGGAGTAAAGAGCTGAGCTTTTGTTCCAGGCTTGGCACTTAAGGAAGGCAGGACCTTGTTCCCTCACATGGTGGGAGGAAAGGTGAAGAGCCTTCTGTGAGCAGCCTTTGAGGTTTATTATGGGCTGACCCATGAGCTATAAACTGGTTAGCTCATTTGGTTGACTGTGCTTGTATAGCTCAGGCTCTGATGTGGTCTTATGTGCCCCTTTTTGGCATTTCTTTGGGGCCACAGACTCCTTCCAGTTCCTGATCAGCCATTGTGCACGTCACCATGTTTAAACTAAGGGAAATGGGCATTCTGCCACCATCACTACTTGAAGAACAATTCACAAAGGCATCAGTCTCTAAGTATTTACTTGGGAAATGCAGCTCACATTTTTATGCCCCTATTAAGTGTCAGGCATATAGCAAGCACCTTGCTGCCTCTCTTTTGCCTCCAGCCAAAGAAAGCCCTCTGCTTTTAGGGGCTCACATGATTCAACAAGGCCCATCCAGATGACCCAGGATAACATCCTTATTTTAAAGTCCATAGCCTTAATTACACCTATAAAGTCCTTCTGCCATGTAACATAACATATTCACAGGTTGCTTACCTTAATTCTCATGTCAACCCTGTGATGTCATTAGCTCCATTTTACATTTTAATGTCGTCTCCAATTATAAACATGAACCATGAACACGTGGCCTTTGTAGTAACACTGCTGCATTCTGTTGGTTAAAGCCAAGATTCAAAGAGAGGGGATTATACAAGGCTTTGGACACTTATTCCATTTATTTAGGAGGTGAGGTACATTGGAGGCACTAAGTAACAGACTACCACACCCTGTCTCTACAGTTCACATTCCCCAGACAATCAAATCAGCTCAGATCCTGGGCGTGGAGTCCATCCCAGTCCAATCAGTTGTGGCCAAGGAGGGGAAGCATCATAAGACACAACATGGCCTCAAAAGCCATTCTTTCATCTGGAGCCATGTGGTGCAGAAAGAACCAGTTCTTAGAAATCAGGGTGTGGACTGAGGAGATACCCGAAGACTGACTACACTAACACCCATGAAACAGAATAATTAAGTGCTAAACTCTATGATTCTGACTGTGAATATTATAAGAATCCAAGAAAGAATATGATCAATGTGGTCCAAAACACTCAAGGAAATTTTGTTTTGTTGTTCTTCTTGGAGCACGTACCTTAGAATCATTAGTGAAATTTAGGTAGGACAAAGGGAGAGACAGACGTTCTATGTGAACAGTGACCTTGGCAAGGTGGAAAAGAGAAGTGCCCATAGAGGAGATCATATGAGACCAAACTGCGAAGGGCCCTTCGGAGCAAATATCTAACATGACTCATGACAATTTTTGATAAATGCGGTATCTTCTCGTCCTTGAAGTTTCAATGCATTAAAGTGTAGATTCCAAGAAGGTAGGAACTTTGATTTCTGGAGCATAATTCCTCCAGTTTTGTTCTTAATATTGCCTTTGGTATTGTATTAGTTTTCTATTTCTGCCATAACAATTTACCACAAACTTGGTGGCTTAAAATAATACAAATTTATTGTCCACCCTTTCTGTAGATCAGAGATCCGGGTGGGCTCAGCTGGTTCCTCTGCTCTTGGTCTCACAAGGCCAAAACCAAGACATCAGCCAGCCTGGGCTTTTATTTGCAGCCTTTCAGGGAGAAACTTCTTTCCAGCTTATTCAGGTTGTTGGCTGGATTCAGTTCTTTGCAGCTATAAGGCTGAGGTCTTCATTTCCCTGCTGGCTGTCAGTTGGGAGCCTCTGTCAGCTCTTTAGGGCCACCTGCATTCTTTGCCAGGTTGTTCCTTCCATCTTCAAACCGCAATGGCACATTGATGCCTTCTCATACTTAAAATTCTCTGACTTCCTTGCTGCCTCTCTTTTGCCTCCAGCCAAAGAAAGCCCTCTGCTTTTAGGGGCTCACATGATTCAACAAGGCCCATCCAGATGACCCAGGATAACATCCTTATTTTAAAGTCCATAGCCTTAATTACACCTATAAAGTCCTTCTGCCATGTAACATAACATATTCTCAGGTTTCAGAGATTAAGGTGTGGACATCTTTGGGGCTCAGTCTGCCTACTGAAACTCTTCTAATTTCCTTGCATTTCCAAACAGATTTTAGAATTGGCATATCAATTTTCACAAAAACGTTCTAATGCAGTTGTTTTGTACGTACAAAAAGCTGTCGATATTTAACGTATACAACTTGACGTGTTTGAAACTAATGTAACTTTGATTGGGATACCGTGAAATTTACAAATCAATTTGGTGAATATTGACAACATTATTAAGTCTTCCAATCCATGAACATAGTCTATCCTTCCACTTATTTAGGTCTTTTTTCAATTCTCTCTTTAATTTTTGTAAAGATCTTTCACATCTTTCATTAGATTTATGAATGGGTGTTTGATACTTTGGGGGCTTTTTAAATGGCATATTGTTTTTCATTTTCTAAAAGTTTGCAGGAAGGCACTTTTTTTTTTTTTTTTTTTTTAAAGATTTTATTTTTTTCCGTTTTCTCCCCAGAGCCCCCTGGTACATAGTTGTATATTCTTCATTGTGGGTCCTTCTAGTTGTGGCATGTGGGATGCTGCCTCAGCATGGTTTGATGAGCAGTGCCATGTCCGCGCCCAGGATTTGAACCAACGAAACACTGGGCCGCCTGCAGCGGAGCGCGCGAACTTAACCACTCGGCCACGGGGCCAGCCCCAGGAAGGCACTTTCTTATTAGCACCTTGTATCACCAACACTTAGCACAGTACATGGAAAATACTAGGCACCCAATAAATATTTGTTAAATGAATGAATGAATGAACTGCACTTTATCTGGACTCCTTTTATGATCTTTGATTGACATCTGGTATCTTACAGCTGGTTGTGTATAAATCTTGGTCCCCTTCAAGACTGTGAGCATTGTGGGGTGGGGATGTATCTAATCCCCCTCTCTCCACTCAGTTCCCAGCACAGTGTTTGACACATTGCAGAGCCTATTAAAGTATCCTTGTGTGCCGTAAACTAGTGACATGGAATATCTACACTCATCACAAAGTATACTCTCAAATCCCCTGCTACCCTATTCTCATAGAAAGTTCTATTGCACAAGATACTATTCATGGAGGACTCCAGGAAACACATGTGGTCCATGTATTCTTTTAGCGTCTGGCGTCTAGACTCTAGACCCTCTAAATTCTCTCATTGGATTTAGTCAGAAAGTTGTATGCCTGGTCCACAAGCTTTGTACTCCTTAGAGAACTTATTTTTCTGAGTTGTGTTTGGCATTAGATCATTGGCCCACACTAAAAAACATAATAGAAAACAGCGCTAAGAAATCCCATTTGTGTTAATGAGATAAAGTTGAGAACACTGTTCTCTATGTCATAAGACATCTCTTTAATGAAGACCCACAAGAAAAATTCTCTCCATCCCCAAAACTGTGAATAACTGTGCATTTCCTCAGCAACTGAACTTGTGTATCTGATTAAATTTCTTACTGTGTGTTGGCTACCAGGAAGATCATTATTAATTAGCGACCAAACTCCTAGTAAACTCTATAGGATATAAAGTACATTTTGGGTTTAAGTATTAAGCTTACCCTTATAAGGCAAAATAGAAAGTGAAAGAGAACTCCACTAGGGTGGAAACTCCAGAGGGCAGATGCTACATTTGTTTCATTCATGCCTGTATATTCAGTGTGCATATGTATATATATGTATATACATGTACATATTAAATAAATGAATGCTACATAGCACAACACGGTACTCTGAAAATAACGTACAACACAGGATGCAATAACAAAGAAAGAAAAAAGAGAGAGAGGAAATAAAAAAGACTACAGCGTTTGTAAAATCAACCAATAGTGTGATTTTTTCCCTAATGTTGAATTTTTAACGTACATTATTGTTTTTGTTAAAAGAAATGGAGACATCTATTAACAGAAAAAGGCAGAACTTTCTGTGGTGATGTGGGAAGATACTCACAACAAAGTGAATACAAATATGTACCGTATAATCACATTTTTGTTTTTGCAAAAGAAAATCTGTATATATATTTGTATATTTTTTTCCTAAGGATATAGTCATAGGTGCAAAAAGAAAACCAGGTGTTCTGAGACCTGTTTTGTTTCTACACTGTATTCGTGTGACCCTGACTTGGATATCTTCTCACAAGGGTGATGACGGTACAACGAAATTTGGCATGAAATAGATCTTTTCCTGCGTTGCCAGTGGCAGTTCATATCGGTAAACATATGGGTTGTCAGGTTAGCATTGCTCATCTGAAGCCATAATGATGTTCATAAGCTTTGCCCAATCATACCAGACCTGGGCATTTATCTTAAGGAAATTGCTCCAATGAAGAATAAAGGTCCGTGCCCAAAGATATTCATCACTATCCTAATGAGTATATTTAACAATCCAAACCAGGTGAGAGGAAAATATTCAAATATCCTCCTTTTCTTAGCATTTCTGTCTCTCAACCGGATGATATTTGAAGCAGATCTTATAGCCTTTTCAATCACTTTAAAGTATTAAAAATAAATAACAGTCTCATTCTGGGGTATTAAAATGTTTAATAAAATTTGAATCAAAACTTCAATCTCATTTAATTTAAAACTCTTGGTCTGATCTGAGCTTAAAAACCTGCAATGAAGATTGGGAGAGACGAGGGGAAGTGGGGGGAGAGACAGTTTTTTCTATTTTTTGTTTTACTTCCTTCTCCACTTCCCTGCTCGGGATGAGGGCAAGAGAAGAGAGGAGGTAAAGAGGGTGAAAAGTCTTACTTGACTGTTCTAAATCCGGGGTCAGAGCGCTCGGTGTGGGGCAGGTACCTAAACACCAGAAGCCTTTTCTCTTTAGCCATTTTTGGGGGGAAACTCCCCACGTGGGGGCCTCCCACTACATTCTTCCAGTTCAGCACAGACTCTTGCTTTTGGGCTACCGCTGGGCGTGGGCAGACCTCTTGAGCAGGATATTTCAACACAAGCTCAGGTACCTTGCAAGGACCACCCCGTTCCAAGCACAGGGGAAAGCGCCCCTTGCTCCCGCTGGCACCCTCCCAATGCTCTGACCTCAAGGGAAGCTACAACTAGCCTCTCACCTTCAGATACTTCTAGGTGTGAGCCAGACACCAGCCTCTGTGTTCCCCAACACAGGACCTGCCGCCGGGAGTTCCACTGAGGCCCCCTCACTTGGCTTAAGCTGGCGGGGGTGGGGGGGGGGGTGAACGGGGTGAGATACAGCACTCCTTCAGCTCCTCAAAGAGCCTCACTAGTAATACGCCCCGATTCCTCCGCCTTCCCATACACAGAGAACAGAGGTGAGTGAGGGGCTGCTGGGGCGGGATTAGCTTGGGGACCTCCCTTTAGGAAGGACCATGTGGGCGATCTGGCGCCTTCTTTAGGTGCATGGGCACTTAACCGTCTTTCACCCCAGCTGCAGCTCTGAAGCAAAAGGCATTCTGCGACACCACTCTATTCATCGATTGACTACTTTATAAAGCCAATGAAAATTTATTCTGTAAACTTTAAACAACTTTCACAATTTTCTCAATACTACTATAGAAAATATAGTTTTTAGCAGAGAAAAATGGCCTTTAAATTTTTAAATATGTGTAGTTGCTCAAGCAAATTGCCTATTATAGCTTATGTTATGGTGGACTGGTTAATCAAATCAAAATACAAGTCTTCTGCTACCTGGAGAGTACAATAAAATGGAAATAATTCATTCTTAAGATCCTAATTTATAAAACAACTCCACTCCTTATAAAATACTACCCTAAGAATTATAATTCTATCAAGCTTCAATTTGAACGAATGTACAATCACTTAAACAACAGCTGTTAAACTAAAAAAGAATTCAATGTGTCTTTAAAGGAGTGACAGAAACATTATTGGCCTGATTGTCCTGCTTCAGACCTTCCGAAAGCTCCTCTCTGGAAAGCTGACTCAGCCCCAGGGAGTTCACTCCTTGGCAGTAGGGGTGAGATCCAGCTCTTGGGCGGAACTCACAAGGAAACCCCTTTGGTGTGTAGAGGTTCCTCAGCACTAATGGAGGAGGAAGGGACAGGAAAATCCCCTGAGGGAAGTAATCTCGGGACTTCATGTGCATTTCTTGGAGAAGGAGACAGAGGCGGTCCCCTCTCATAAACTACCCCCGTGGGCCCATTCTCAGCATGGAACCTTCAACTGGATGATGTGGGTGAGGAAAAAAGCCTCCACCAGCTCAAGTGGTAAAGATGGATCAAGAGGACCTAAATTATTTAAAGCATCTTCAGGATGAGTCCCACCAGATCTCATTTTTAAAGATGTGGACCAATTGTTCCCTCAAAAGAAAGTTCATTAAAACTTGCGAGTCCTGATGGTTCAGAAAGATGACCAGGGTGTGAAGCAGAAACTCTGTCTTGTACACTGGGAGGAAGAGCTGGACCAGGATATGGATGGCCTGGTGGACACTGTATCATCCTGGGCCCTAGAGCCCATGGATATGACATCTGGTGACATCTGGTGATGCAGAGGGACCTTGAACGTTGAATCTCTAAACCACCCCAGCTGAACATATTTCCTGTCTTGATGAGCTAATGATCCAGAGGATTCCCTGGTTCTTCAGGACCTCTGCCAAATGCGGCACTTGCATCATCAAGGCCTTGAGGATCGTTTTCTAAAATCTCAAATTTAACATCTTCTTCGGTTGATTTGGGTCTTCCACGTGCATTTTCTTCTCCTAAGTCATAAAGGTTTCTTTGGCCAGCTTAAACTGTCATCTGCAGTTCAAGAGCTGTTATCAAGAGCAATGAGCTGGCTTTTCAGAGAACAAGTAAATCCTTCCATTTCTTCTCCTAGAGCTTTGGCTTTTTGGGGTTTTGTTTGTTTGTTTGTTTGTTGTTGTTTGATGAGGAAGATTGGCCCTGAGCTAACATCTGTTGCCAATCTTCCTCTGTTTTTTTGGCTTGAGCAAGATTGTCTCTGAGCTAATATTTGTGCCAATCTTCCTCTCTTTTGTGTGTGGGATGCTGCCACAGCATGACTTGATAAACAGTGTGTAGTTCTGCACCCAGGATCCCAACCCATGAACCCCAGGCCACCAAAGTGGAGTGTGCAAACTTAACCACTATGGCACGGGACCAACCCAAGCTTTGGCTTATTTTTTGGTTTCATTATGTTTTGTTTTGGTTTTGGTTTTGGCATCCAGGTCTTCATGGCATGGCTTATGTTTTTATCTGCTTTGGAACTTTTCTCCCCAGTCTTTAAATCATTCCTCTCTCTCTGCAGGATAATTTCCTGGGAGATTTCTTCTCACTGTCTTGACATAGCTCAGTCTTTAAGTTTATGCTAAAGCTTTTGAATCTCACTTAATCTTTGCATTTCCTGATTCCAACAAAGCATTTGGGTTGTTTCGAGAGTTGTGATATAATCTGTTAACGATTTTCCTCTTCTCCCGCTGGTTAAATATATATATTTGGTTACTTTCTACTTCAAGGGTTTATAAGGATGCATTTAGCTTGGCAGCCTCAATCAGTTTCCTCAAAACTCATATTGACTTGTCATCTAAGTGGTGTCCAATTTTTAACTCTCTCCTTACATCCATTTTCTGGTGACCTTCATCCATGTTACCCTTTCCAAGGACGGCAGCCGAATCTGCCATCTTCAGCAGGCATTTAGTCAGGGTCTTGCTTTGACCTTCCTTCTCGTGTAGAACTTTTCCACCTGTGCTTTAGAGCAGTGATTCTGAAAGTGTGATCCGCGGACTCCTGGAGAGTCCCCAGGACTCTTTTAGGGGAGCTCTGTGGTCAAAACTGTTTTGGTAATAATAGTAGGACGTTATTTCCTTTTGCACGGTTGACATTTGCACTGATGATGCAAAGCAGTACTGGGTAAAACTGGTGACACTTTAGGACAAATCAAGGTACAGGCACCATACTGTACTAGTAGTTGTTGCATTCTTCATCACCTTGTAATCTCAGCTAAAAAAAAAAAAAGCCAGCTCCACTTAAGAAGGTCCTTGATGAAGCAGGAAAAAATCTACTAATTTTACTAAAATTCAACCCTTTGATGCATGTCATTCTAATATCTTGAAGAACAAAATGGGAAGACACACAAAGCACTCTGCCCGCTGCTGAAGGGTGACGGTCATCTGCAGGGAGAGCACGCGTGCGGTCGATTGAGTTGCAAGCTGAACGAGTCACTTTTTTTCATACAACACTACGTTCGCTTGAAAGAAAAACTGGCAAACTGTACAGATTTAGGTATCTGGCAGTCATTTTCTTGAAAATAAACAAAGTAAGCCTGTCATGTCAAGAAAAACAACTGACAGTGTATTTCGTCAAGGATAAAATTCAAGTTTTCAACTGAATATTAAAATTTTGGAAAAATTTCCAAAAATTGGGAGCTTGACAGCTTCTCAATGCTTCAAGCCTTTTCTGATTAAATCAGTGGTGTTATTAATGAACATAATATTTCAATATTTTGTAGTGAAATGTGTCAACACTCGGAAGATTCAAATAATTCAGTGAACCAGTATTTTTCCAGTGGCCATTACACAATGTCACAAAATCATGCAGAGGTAAAAGATCTAGTCAAAGTGCGAAACAGATCAAATAATTGTAATGTAACAGAGCATGAAAACGTCACTGATATGATGTCAGATTCCACATTGCAACTACCCTTTAATAAACGTCGAGAGTAATAACAAAGAAGAATACCCACAATTAGCTAAAAAGGCTGTAACATGCTCCTCCCTTGTCCAACAACTTATCTATGTAAGACAGAATTTCCTTCATATCCCTGAATTATGGCAACATCTGGCAGCACCTTAAATGCAGAAGCACATATAAGAATCTAGCTATCTTCACATAAGCTAGACTTCCAAAAAGTTTGCAACTCTGTAAAATAACATCAATCTTCTCACTAATTCTTTTTTGGAAAAATTTGGCAATTTTTCCTTAAAATTTGTTATTTATTTTAAAAATATAAGGGGTTTGTAATAATAAATAATAATTTATATAATAATAAATGACGATTATGATAAATGCAATCATGTATTGACACTATCCTTAAGTTTTCTCCATTTTAATTTCTGATACAGTAAATATCAATAGATATAACCCACATAAACAAAAGTCCTTTGGAATCGTCAGTAATTTTTAAGAATGTAAAGGAGTGCTGACACAAAAAGTTTGAGAACTGCCACAAGTCTTCAACCATTTTTTTTCAAGTTCATTTGGTTTTTCACTCTTTCCAGCCTTCAGGGTCTTATGAAAGTAGTTTTCCGCTTTGCCGGGGATGGACGTGTTCCTGCACACCCTTCTTTAATGTTGTCGTTAACTGTTCTCAGCTCTTCCAACACAACTCAGGCTGTCCATCCTCAGCCCCTTTGGGCTGAATGGCGTCTGGTTCTTCTCCTAGTGACTGAGCGTCCTCGCAATGTGAGTCCTCATCAGCTCTCCTCCTGCACATTCAGATTTCTCCTCCCTTCACTCTACCAACAAGTCTATCTTAACCTCAAGAAGGAACATTTTCCATTTTTCATTGTTTGCCTCTAGACCCAGCGTTTCTGACAGCTTGGTCTCAAGGCTGGCCTCCTTCGAAAATGACTTCAGTGATTTAGAATCTCTCTTAACATTCCTGAGCTCAGAAATTTTACTTTTTCTTTATCTAGAGCAGAAAAAGTTATGCCAAGCTCTTTCTCCCTACATTTAAAAGTTGGCTTTTGTCTACAAGAAAGCCCATGCCACCATCTCTTGGCTAGTGGGTGGCACTGCTAAGGGTTGGACCAGGACTCAACGCCATCAAGCAGGGCCCTCAGCCCCACGCAGCATTTCCACGACGACCTGGTGGTAAAGCTTGGTAGCCATCACCAGACCATATACGCTACCAGTGGCTGCCACAGAATAGCCCCAGGTTGTTAGGACCCTACTGGCCCAAATAGATGACAGGGGCCCCTTAGAATGCTCCATGCAGAACATAAGCCAGTGCCTGGCAACAAGAATAGACCAGCAGCGGGGGGGAGTTAGGGAGGGCCCAGGGAACAAAATGACAAAACAGAGCTTTCCCACATTTTCTACATCGTGGCACACCAATACATCATCGTCACCAGCGGAAGTGGGAGGCTCTTCATAGGTGAGGGGACAGGTGCCACCTGGCAGCTGTGAGGGCTGAGTGTCCTTCCACATGTGTGATGCCTTCCAGGACGGCTGGCCAACAGGAAGCTCTTGAGTAAAGGGCTCATGTGTCCATGCCATGGGCCGGAGCTGCTCTTCTCCCACAGCCCTAGAGGTGGGATGCAGCTGCAAAAGTCCGGGAGATTTGGGCAGCATGAGAGTGCCCATACACGCGTGTGTGAGTTGGAAGTATAAAGGACCATACCAGAATTTTCAATAACGTGCATGATGGCAGATTTGTCTATTCCTCCCTTTGGTTCTGTTAATTTTGCTTCAAGTATTTTGGTGTTGTCATTAGATGCATGCACACTTGGATCTTCTTGATGAATTGATCCCTTTGCCATCATTACGAAGTTTCCCTCTTTATCTCTGCTAGTACTCCTTATCTTGAGGTCTACTTTGCTGAGGCCAGACCAGCTTTCTTATGCTTAATGTTTCCATGATGTATCTTTACCCACCCACTAAAACAGCATATAATTGTATCTTGCTTTTTACATAATCTGAGATTCTTTGCCTTTTATTTGGAATGTTTGGTGCATTTGCATTCAACGTCATTATTGATATGGATTTAAAGTACCATCTTCATATTTTTTCCCATTTCTTTTATCTCTTCTTTATTCCTCTTCCTAATTTCCTACGCTCTTTGGGGTTAATCAAGTTTTGTTTTGTCGAGTTTTTTTAGTATTCCATTTTATCACTTCTGTTTTTTTTAAATATACTTTGTGATGTTTTCTAATGATCGATCTAGAGATTAAAATATGAATCTTTAGCTATCACAGTAAAACAATGTTAAGCTACCTTAACGAATAATTTAGGAAACTTCCAGCAGTCTGGTTGTATTTCACCTGTTAGCCTGTGTGCTCCTGTTGTCACATCAGCTGCTTCCACATATGTTATAATCCCACAGCACGTTTTAATTACTGTTTCAAATGGCCAATAATCTTTTGAAGACTATATGTGTGTATATAGATATATATACATTATTTCTGGTGAGAAATCTGCCATTATTCTGTAAATTCTGTATCTTTTTCTTCAGGCTAATTTTACGATTTTCTCTTTATCTTTGTTTTTTGGTAGTTGACTATGTTTGCCCATGATTTTTGAATGTATCCTACTTGGGATTCATTGAGATCCTTGGACCTGTGGGTTGTTATAGTTCATCAGTCTGGGTAAACTCGTGACCATTATCTCTTCACATATTTCTTCTGCTCTGTTATGTCTCTCTTCTCTTTCTACAACTTCTTCCATGCTTATATTAGATCATTTGATGCTGTCTCTAACGTCTCAGATATTCTTTTTGGTTTTTCATTCTTATTTCCTTTTTTTGTATTATCTTAGCTTGTCTTCATGTTTGCTGATCCTTACCTGTGTTAGGTCTATCAATTTAATTATTAAAATTAACTCTGATAGTTTTCAGTTCTAGCATTTCCATTTGGTTCTTTTTAACATGTTCCTTCTCTTTCTTTTTTTTTTTTTTTTTGGCTGAAATTCTACATTTGTTTACACATATTATCCGTCTTTTCCACTAGATTCTTTAACATATTTATTATAATAACTATTTAAAAGTCCATGTCTGGGGCCAGCCCAGTGGCATAGTGGTTAAGTTCACACACTCCCCTTCAGGGACCCGAGGCTTGTGGGTTCAGATCCCGGGTACAGACCTCCACACCACTCACCAAGCCATGCTGTAGCGGCATCCCCATCCAAAAAAAAATAGCGGAAAATGGCCACAGATGTTAGCTCAGCGACAATCTTCCTCACCAAAAAAAAAAGAAAGTCCATGTTTGCTAATTCTGACCTCTGTGCCCTATGTGGGTCCACTCTTCTGAATTTTTCTTTCTCTGGTTTATGGTCACATTTTCCTACTTTGTGTCATGACTTGCGATTTCTATTGCATGAGAAATTGTGTGCAAAGGAACAACAGAGACTGAAGTCAATCAAATTTACCCCCCCAAAAGAGTATGGCCATTCCTCTGTCAGGTGGCTAGTGTGCAGGTCGGTGGTGGGAGACGGGGCAGGGGTGAGTCAATCTAATCTACGGCTGAGCTGCCTCTGGGCCTTCACCAGCTCATTTAAGGAGGGTTTGTTCACATGTAGCAAGGGAAGACTTGGGCCTTTGCCTCCGTCAGGGCTGGAATCAACATCGGTGAGATTCTAGAGCCCTCTCTGTGCTCTGGACTGCTCCGTCTAGCTGCCAATTTTTGGAGCTGCTGAGGAGTTCTGTTGGCTCTGACACCAATTTCTTTATTTTGTTCTTAAAAATTATAAATTATTTAAATACCCAACAAGAAGAGAATGTTTATGTAAATTATGGGAAAACCAAAGCTGGACTTGTATACGCTGATTTATAAAACAGTTCTGAGAAAAGGCAAATGCTTAACGTGCAATGTTAAATTTTAAAAAACAGAATGTTAAGGTATATCTAATAAAATTTGTGTAAAAAACTATTTATACCTATGGGCTACTAACTAAAGGAAGCCCCCAAGAAGGAAACGTCTGAGCCATTGAGGTGGCAAGATCACGAGCAGCTTTGTCTTAATTTTTCGTTGTGATTTCCATTAACAATGCCAATCATATTGAGAATGTAGTAAGGAACAAACTTTAGACAGATCTGAAATAGCAATAACAATTTCTGAGCTTATGAAAGATAACCCAGAGCAGAAAGGGGCGAGCTGGCTTCTCCCCTAAGGCCCAAACAAAAAGAAACTAATTTAAAATACAGCAAGAGGACTGGGTTAGGAGCAAGGAAGAAAGAGCCTTTGGACTGTCAAGGTTGTAAAATGACAGCTAAAATGAGAGAGTTAGAGAAGAGGAAGAAACTTAGAAAAACCCAGATGCAGAACAGTCCAGTCCTGCCCAAAGGTCCTTCATTAACTGACAGTAATGCCAGGAGACATCTCAGAGTAACCATCCACGTTTCCATCACTATTACTACGGACTGAAACTGGTCACCAAGGGAAGCTGTGGAATTTTTTCCCCGGAGGCCATTTAAAATCAGATCTAGACAACCACCTGTCTAAAATAATTCAGGTCCCGTCCTGCCTGGAGGCACGGAATTGAACTAAATGACCCCTGAAGGTCCTTTTAAATGCTATGACTCTGGGATTCCCGTGCTGATAACATTAAGAAAGCCATAATATCCATTTTTTCCTAATCTTTTACTGGGCACTCTCTGTTTATTTTTTTTTCAGATTGAAAAGGGAAACTTCTTCCTGTGAGCAGTCCGTTCATTTCTCTCCCAGACACAAGGCTGAAATTTTAGTATTACAGGTATCACTGGGGAATATTTCTCAGCTGCAGGTGATTACTTCTCCTTTCACTGCCAGGTGTCACTGTGCCTGGAGAGAATTCACTTAGCAAGGAAGCGGGGAAGGCAGTGGGTTGCTGAGGGAAGAAACAGCAAGTCAAAGAAGCAGGGTGGGTGGGCCTGGCAGGAAGTGGAGGAGGGGGGCAGAATTTGTGGAAAGTCAGTGACTCAAAGCAAGTATTTGAGATTAAAAATAAAAAGTCTAGTAAGCCATAGTTGTGTGTGTGTGTGTGTGTGTGTGTGTGTTTAAAGCACTTTAGGACACAAAATTCTATATCACCCAACCGAAGTTATTATTTGATCATAACAATTAAAAATATTAATGATGCCAGAACCAATACTTTATAAGCAATTATCCCCAGCTGCCAGAAAGGAGGGAAAGTATCAGGCAAGATTTGTGTACATCCATTCAGGATGAAAAATTCGTGACCTGAAAAACTAAGCAAATATACTTATATCCTGCCCGTAAACTTCTCGCCTCCCTAAGTGTCAGCGATCACTTCCGAGGGTTCTCTGAGGACCGCCATTTGCCCTCCTCTGGAATGTGATTTTCACCCAGAGAAGAAACTAGGGGAGGAATTCTTGAAAGCCCTCTTTTGGATCAGCATTAACAATTCATGGAACTCATCTCTAGTTCCACCTGAGGCGCTGGGAAGGACACCTGACGTTCAGCAAGGGCTTGTTCAAAGTGTCTCCTAATCTGCTTTGAAATGCACAGTGGAGTGCGGCCAACTCGAGGTCGACACCCGTCCTCACTTAGTGAACCGCCTGCCGCGTTCTTCTGGTAGAGGAAATGAAAAAGCGCTGACTGCAAACCCACTACGCATTTTGGACAGCAGCTGAAGGGTCTTTTGAAATGCAAACCTCTAGAGCTGAGGGGTTGGAAACTTGTTTTCTATTCAGGGCCACTGGCACGCAAAGGGGAGAGAAATAATCACCAAAAAGTAATTGCAGTTGAGTGGCTTACAAAGTGAAGTGGATCAAAGGTTAAACTCACACAATTTAAATGTTGAGAATAGGGAGTTTTAAACATTATTCATTAAGTACACCCAATTTGGGAGAACGCATTTCAGTTTCAGACGAGGAGCAGCAAGGAGGTCTTTCACCCCTTCCACTGCACCCAGCTTCACGCAGGTGGAAGGCGCAGTCTGCCGGGCGCCCAGCCCCTCCGTGCAGCTCTCTCTCCTGGCCTCTGCAGTGCCACCCTCGCCTGGTTTTCCTCCTACCTCCCGACATCCCACTGCTCAGTGTCATTTGCCGGGTCTTCCTTCTCATCTCAGACTGGAATGTTGGTTCCTCCAGCCTTGGTCTTAGCCCTGCTTTTATTCTCTCCATGTGCTGTCTGCGTAGACCACGTCGCCCACGCCCGACTTCCTCTCCATCTCTAAGTAGGTGACCACATATTCTATCCCCATCCAGACCATTCTTCAGAGCTCCAGACCCATAAACCCAGCCACCGGCTGACAGAGCCCCCTGGTTGTCTCACGGGCACCTCCAGCTCGGTGTGGCCCAAACTGACCTCCACCCCTTCCTCCGGCTCCAACGTCCTTTCTCTGCGAATACAAAGCCATCCGCTCAATTTCAAGCCGGAACATTAGGAGTCAGTCTTGAAACCCCCCTCTACCTCACCCCATATCTAATCCATCTCCAAATCCTGAATACCTCTCCTTCTCTGCTCCCAAAGTCCAAACTGTCTGCATCTCTATGTCCAAAACGGCAATAACATTAACTCATTTCATTAACTCATTAACATCTATTTTGTCCCCTCCGCTTCATTCTGGACACACTTGCCAGGGGGCTCTTTTCTACAGGGCGGAGCAACGCTTTTAGAATAAGACCAAGACTCTCATCATGGCCCATAGGGCTGCGACAGACCCGTCTTTGCACCATCCTGCATCCTCATCTCTGCGTATCTTTCCCTCCCACGCCCCCTCCCAGTTCCACTCTGGAAACCACACAAGACTTTCGCTTCCTCAAGCCCGCCCACCCCTCTCCGCATCAGCATCCTCACAAGTGCTGGTTTTCTCCGCCTCTATCTGCTTCCTCCCCAGCAATCTACTCGGCCAATTTCTTTTCATCCTCTCGGTCTCAGCGGATTTCAGAGAAATCTTCCTCCGTCCCCAAGGCCCAATCAAAACCTCCCCTTGTCCAGTTTCATAGACTCCTTGACTTTTTGTTTTTGTAGGATTTACCACACTTTCTAATAAACAACTACTCTGCGTATTTAGTGTTTCCATCTTTTGTTCCCCCAGTGCCTTGCACTGTGTCCTACACACAGGACGTACTCAATGCAGCCATCCTGAATGAACGAATAAACGAGTAGTAGAAATGGAGATAACATCACACTAAAAAAGGAGAAAGATTATCTGTGGCCAAGTTACTCACAATTTGTGTATTTTTATTTCAGGAATTTAATCAGATGCTCTCTCTCAGTTACTCATGTTGGAATTAGTGACCAGCTTAAACCCCAACGGCTTTTTCACATTAACTGATGTCAAGCCAGGTATGCCTCTGTGCTAGGTAATTTGTGTTTCATCTGTATGTAAAGTTTTTATCTTTGGGAAAAAATATAATTTTTGAAACTGAATTCTGTCATCTAAGATATTAACTGTCCTCACCAGGTATCATTTGAAAGTACTATAATCATGACTTTCAAAATACTATAATCATGACTTTCACGCCTTTTCTCAAGTTGTTAATAAGTGGTTGCCCCATGCTAACACCACAAAACCCTACAAATACCCCTAAAGGCCTCTTTCCCAGTGTGACAGGCATAATTGGTCTTCTCATCCAATAGCCATTTCTCCCAACTTTCTTATTCCTTGCTCTCTTTCAATTATAGAAGCTAAGAAAAGCCAGAAACCCAATTTGCCAGCTTCCCTTTAGCTAGTGGAAGCTAGTGAGACATAGAGAGCCATCTATAAGGAGGAAGGGGAAATGGGGAAATGTTTTGCTCCTGTTAAAAAGGAAAAAAAAGGTCAACCTAAGATGTGCTCTTAACACCAATTATTCCATTACTTCTACCTTTAAATATGATTAGGATGCCTGGAGCCACAGCAGCCATCCTGTGACCATGAGGTAATAAGCATGAAGGCAAACTCAATATGAGGAAGATGGAGGAACTTCTGAACCAATCTATTATGCCTATCTCCAGAGTTTTTGCAGATGAATCACCTGCGGATCTTGATAACACAGTTTCTGATGCACTAGGTCTGGGGCCGGGTCTGAGATCCTGCACTTCTAACAAGCTCTCAGGGGAGGCTGATTCTGCTGGTCCACAGACCACACTTTGAGTAGCAAGGATTTGTAGAATAACAGGATAAAGAATAGAGGAGCTGTTTCAGAAGGCCTCCCAAATTTAGCTAAAGAAGTCACCACCCATGGGGACTGTTCAAATCAAGCACTCAATACCGGGCAGTTTGGGAGCAGTGGACAAAGAGGAAAAATGAAGGGGACACAGGATGCCTGTTCCCCCAGTTATTGCTCCACCCTTGCCTCCAAGGCAGGACGTCTTCACAGTCCAGCTGTTTTCCCTGGGAATCATTATGGTTGATGACAGGTATTTCCTCATGCATGCTTTCACTTAATAAATATTTACTAAGCAATGATTATATGCCAAGGGGGTCAGCTCGAGTCTGAAAGCATCACCTGAACAAGCAGAAGGGTACCGTCATGGTCCCACACTCTGGCTAGCCTTTAGCTTCTTGGAGCACTCCCCACCACTCCTGTCCACCAGAGCACTGGCTCCTCTCCAGAATATCACCCCGGAAGTAGGATCTTACTTCTCATTGGGTTGTTTAATAGCTTTGAGTTACAGGGGCTCATTTATCTTTGGCTCACTTGCTTTATCCTGCGAAAGACAATGTTCTCCAGTTGGGGAGATATTTTGTCCAGGGGTGCCCCATGGACATCTGCCTCCTTTACTTACAGAGCTGGTGTTCAGCATTTCCTCCCTCAACTCAAAATCATTCTTTTAGCCAAGTCTTACTGATGGGAAATCTATCTCTGATTTACTTTATACCCAAACACTCTCAATGTCATAACCAAAAGGTTAAATCTGCTTCTTCCTTGATATCCCTCAAGGCAAGATGAACTTATGGCAAGTCCCCATTAACAAGCTGACCCTGGCTCTCCTTTCCTCATCCCCCACAAAAGAACTTCAAGAACCTTCTATTCAATAGAAGTCAAGAGACCATGAAGCCCCTACATAAATTGAACATATTTTTCAAGCCAAAAATCAAGAATATGCTTGGAAAATTCAAAAGTGCTTATGGAGACAAAGGAACAGAAAATTTAAAACTAGGCTTATCCTAAAAAGTTTTAGATTTACATTCCTGTTGGCACTGGTAGCTGAAAGTGTTCTGGAGGCATCAGTGACGGGGGGAAAGGATACAGAAAGGGAAACAGAGAAAAGACAAAGATTATGTGTTTCATAACAATGTCATTCAGGATAAGCTGGATCACTTTTCTCAACCTATTTTTCATTATCATCTCCCCAAGGAGTCTTTTTTTAGACATCTTTTTCTTAATCCCTCCCATGAAATTTCAATACCACAGATATGCTATGTATCTTTTTATTTCTAGTATGTATGTACTACATATTTTCACCCATCGCAAGAACTAATTTTCATCCCCTTTAAGTGATATTGCCCTTGTTAAGAATACATGGGTTAGATGCTGCTTGGTAACAAGCAATTCAAAATCTTAGTGGCTAGTTACAACACAGTTTGTTTCTCACTCACATCCCCTGAATGTCACAGGCCAGATGGGCAAGGAGAGGCACTGCTCCCCAAATCTCTTCACCCCGGGATCCAGGCTGACAGAGCAACCCCCAATTCCGGTGTTGCTGGATGCCAATGGCAGGGCAAAAAGAGCATTCAGGAGGGTCTCATGCCTGCAATTAAAAGCTGCAGCTTGGAAGAGACACATGTCAATTCTTATCTCAGAAATAAGCCACACGGCCCCCACAACCACAAGGGGACTGGGAAGTTCAATTCTGCTGTATGCCTAGAAGATGGCAAACAGGAAGAAATAGTAGGCAAAAGGCACCAAAAGTTCTCCAAACAGCCTTGCCTTAGACAGCCCAACTATCAAAAGGTATATGTACAGAGATGCTCTTGGGACCATAGAATGTAGATTTTCCTTGTTCAAGTTTCACCTGAGTTCTTGCAAGAATTAACCAACAGAGACACTTCCCCTTCCCCACCATCCTGTCCAATGTCTAGTCCATTCATACCCCAACTACACTGTAGCCACACATACTACATCCCGTCTTCTCTCACTGCCGCTTCTACTTCAACTCCCCGACTAGAGATCAAAACCCAGCAAAAGGAAGTTAGAAGGCTAAGAAGGCTGTCTAATAGACAAACTCTCAACTGCAAAATGGTTCAACTACCAGTACCTTTGGGGGAAGCAGGTGGACTACATACAAATAGTTTAACATGCAAGCAAGGGTCATCATCAAGATGAAATAAGGTGTGTGTTCAATAAATACCTGACAGGTGAATGAATGCATGGTTGGATAAATCAATGAATGAAAAGTACAGTGTGCAGCCGATTTTCCAAAGTCTTCAATAACACATGTTCCCCTTTGTTGTGGTTTTCCTTATCTTGATGTGGACCAATGGTGCTCTCTTTCCTCTCGTGTCGTGTTTCAGTCTTAGCTTAACAACAACCTCTGTTTCCTTGTGGTCCCGTCGTTGGCTTCACAACTGGATTTGGAGTACCTGTGTTTATTACTCCACTTCCTCTTTCCTTCCTCTCTATTTGCAGGCAAGTCCTTGTAACTTGGCCCCTTCCCTAGATTTGCCTGTACCCTGTTTGACCTGTGACTATCCAGGTCTCCCCAAATTCTCCAGAAGAAAAGACCTCGTGACATAAACACCCTGACAGTGAAACAATGACATTGATAAACAGAAAGTAACTGGATATTGTTGCAAAATGCCAGAAACATGTGCACAGAATTGTGCAGGTTCAGCCAAGAATTGTGATGGGTTTGCTATTTCTCATTTTGAAATACACTAATGGAGTATGTGTTTAGCAGTCAGTATTATTCATCATTCCACATATAGTTATGTGATCAGGCACTCCTGATACAAGTGTCACAATTGCTCTTGAAAACTATGAACTATGAACAAGAACAAATCAGCCATTGGTCCATATTTAGGCAGTTTAAGTGCCCAACTGGAGGCTTGTCACCTTCGAACCAAAATATCTATTTGAAACTATGAAACGTAATTGAAGCCCCACTTTGGACAGAGTCAGGGGCTAGGGTGAGGATGTGAGAATGGGAGCCAGTCTTTCTGTTCTACAGAGGAATGGAATGAATAAAAAATACTGTTGGGGAAAGGGAGAGGAAGAAGATGTTCCCAGGCCAGTAGAAAAGTTTTGAGTCAGAAATTCTGGAACTAAGCCTCAGAAAGGGCACCAGAGACTTGCTTTGAACAGAAATCAAATATCCTTAACACACTAGATGGCCATCTGGGTTGTCTATGGCCTGTAACATGTCACTCTTTGCTATGGGCTTCAGATAGATAGATCATAGATTTCTATTTCCGCCTCTATTAATCTGATAGCCTTACAAACAACATAATGGAGAAGAGCGAGTGCAAAAAGCATAAAAGGAAAAGGATCTCACTCAGCCATTTTGATGCAGGCAGGATGTTCACTACACTGCACATATTTATTGAGCACGATATGAGACAGGCACTGACCTAGGTATGAGGGAAGTAACCGTGGACGACACAGACATGGTCCCCGACCTGATGCAAGTGACATTTTAATGGAGAAAAAGAGACAATGGGTAAGTAAACAAACACATGAAAGAGGCACTTTCATGGGATGATAAATGCTGGAAAGAAAATAAAACAGAATATGACGATTTTTTTAAACGATATGAGAGTTGGGCGTTCCTTTAGAGTGGTCGGATTTTTCTAACATTATCTGAACTAAGACCTAAATGATGAGAAAGGGAACAATAAGTACAAAGATGCCAGGGCAGTAAAGAGCTTGGTGCATTCGAAGAACAGAAAGAAGGCCACCGTGCCTGGGAAAGTAAAGGGCGTTATGACATGAGATGAAGTCGGAGCAGGAAGTTGAATCTAGATCATGTGGGGTCTTAAAGACATATATTTGAATTCCTAAATGTATGTTCAGTGTGGCTGTCACAAGGCAACGTGAGAAGGGCAGGCATGAGACTGTCTTCCTTATGTCCACCCCAGCCCCATGGTGCACAGCAAGGTCAGCGTGGCCTCACAACTAGTTAGTGCAAACAAAATTATTCTGTCCTAGGTCAAGTTTTCCAGAAGGAGACCCCAAGACAAGGACTCACCTACAAGTGATGTACTAAGGAGGTACACCCAGAAAAAACAAGTGAGGAAGGATGATGAAGCAAGATAGAGAAGGTGAGGAAACTAAGGAAGGAAGCAGTCTCAGGTGGAATTCCAGAGGTAGGAGCTACAGCCTAGTCCCTGGAGGCTGGTCTGAGCGAAGACTGTGTAATTTAATACCTTGCAGTTGTCCCAGTTTGAGATAAGAAAGCTGAGCTTTCATAGTCTCACACCTGCCGTTGCTGCTTAAAGGCCACCCAGGAAAAGTTGGCCGCAGTGTCCTGAGTGCAGTCCTCTGAAAAAGAGCTGCAGACGGTAAAAATTGGAAGCAAAAGAACACTGAAGCATACACACACATACACACACACAGAAAAATCAGATCTTAGAGGATTGGGCAGAGTACCTATATAATCCACTACACAGCCTAACTGAAATACCTCATTTCAAAATAAGGTTCCATCACTTACTTTCTATATGATCTCAGTGTTCCCATCTATAGTGTGTATGCAATCATAGTACCTACCTTACAGGGTTCTTCCAAAGATTTGAACAGTGATAATGCATTTTTAAATTCTAACATAGTGCCTAGCATATCGTAGGCACTCAATAAACATTATTATTTTTTCACCTAATCAGGCATTCCAAAATTGCTGCACCAACCCAATGGAATATTTTCTCATTTATTGCTTTCTCCATACTCGTATGAGATCATAAAAGCTCCACCAATTTCCGTAAGTGTAATAGCTTTATAATAAGGTCAGCTGGCAAGCTAGAGGATTATCCTCAGAACCTTCAAAGAGAAATATAACTGCATTCCCACCTAATTATACATCAAGGCATTCTTGAGAATCTTGCTTCCCCCTGGGGAGGACTAGGGATATTCTTAATAAGAACCAGGGAATGTCATTAGCTATCATAAATAGATTTAGAAATCCAGGATGTCCGAAAGACTTCAATCAAATTCTTTATATTCAGCTCCATTATGGGCGATAATAGACTTGTGGCTGCCTCATGGATTCTTGGATGTATTTCACTGCTTCCACAATTGTACTTCAAATGCTACCCTACTTCCTAATAATGAAGGTACAGATTCACTTCAGCAGAAGTTTTTTTAATTTGATTAAAGGATCCAATGTCATAGAATCTCTATTCAGCACTCAATGGGACTTTGACCATTTAATAGTGTTCACACGTCTTTCCTCACCCCACTTCCCAGCACTTACATTTGGAGCTGTTTCCTGGTTGGCCTATTTCTTTCTATTTATTAAAATGAGCCCACAACAAGCAAAGGATGACCTAAAATAAGGGAATTAGAAACCAAACTCAATTAAGCGCAGGCTCCCATACAGATCAAGATACCACTCAGTTCAGAGTCTGGTTGGAAGGGAGAGTAACACATTTCACTCCTTAAAGTCAACACAGGCTATTTAGATGGAAATTAAGGGGATTCGATTGATAAAGATTGTTTGTGAAAAGTATTTGTCTTAGGCTTCTAAATAAAGATGGATTATCCTCCATGGTTTTCTCTCTTTGCTTCCCACACCCCACTGAAATTTCAGTAAAGGAATAAAAAATTGTGTTAACCCAATAGGGCAAATAGAGTGGAAGAGGAGATAGCAGAGGGATGGAGTTAGAGGTAGGACGGAACAGAGCAATTAAAACCCACACACAGAACTATAAGAACTTTCTCTTTCTTCTTCTACCTGCCCCAAAATGACAATAGCCAGGCAATGTATTGTCCCTTCATCCCACTTTAGCCTGAAATCTGGAGATTCTTCCCTAGGGAAGCTGAACAACACAGACAAGAAACCTCTTAAGAGATGTGGAATTCCTCAGTAAAAATACACCCTCATGACCTCATCATCCTCAAATGAAGCCCAGCAGTGGAAAGGCTCCCCGCCGCCACAACACACACCCTCCAGTCTGCTTTCTAGTGCTTTACTCTCAATTACATATGGAAAGCCAAAGATGACCAATTAGGAGAGCAGATTTCTGGTACGAAAGACACCAAAACAAACAGAAAAGGAGGATCTAAAGGAAACAGAAACAACAAATGGGGAAGAAATTTTTGAAAAATCTATAGTATATATCTTTAGAAAGCTAAGAGAAGATATTTCCATTTGTGGAACAAAAATAAGATGCCAGTAAAAAGAATCAAAGCAAAATAGTACTATCATTTACAATTTAACTGAAATTAAAATTTTGATGGAAAATTTAGACGATAAATTTGAGGAACTTACCTAGAAGTAGAATTATAGAACTTTACCCAGAAAGTAGAATAATTTTCTAAAAACATGGTACACAGGAAGGAAAATAAAATATAATTAGATAAGCAATCCAGGAAGTCCAATATCTGATTACTATGAATTCTAGAAAGAAATAATTTTTCCGAGAGAAAAAGGATGGGTAAAATTATCAAAGTCACAATATAAGAAGATAGCCCATGACTAAAGACATTAGTGTCTACTTCTCTAAGTGACAAATACAATGAATAATAAGAGACTCAACTGAAGTCACTTCATCATGAAAAAATCAAAATATCTAGGATAAATAAAGACTCTAAATGCTCTCAGAGACAGAAAATACATCACATACAAGTATTGGCTACAAGAATGGCAACACTAGATGCCTCCAAATTTCTGAGGGTCATTATTCCTAATCTAAAATTCTATACTAAGAGTAACCATCAATCCAGTATCAGGAGGAAACAACGACACTTGCAAACACGAAAATATTCAAATAAACAAACCTCTCATGCCCCTTTTTGATGGGAAACTACTATATAATATGCTTCAATAAAAGAAAGAAGAAGATGTGGGCTCTAGAAAGGTTCAACAGAAGAAAAATGTTAAGGCATTAACAAGCAGATGGTGAAGGGAAGGCTCGTGACAACAGCAGTTTGGAGGCCTAGAGACCAGTCATTCCAGATGGAACAGGAAGATAGAAGGCTATAGGAAGATCTCCAGAGTGAACAAAAAGAAACAGATTATTTGTTGTATTTAGTTATTTGGGGAAAAAATATATTACTACCTTTAACAGACCAGTGAGAGCATTTGGGAAAAAAATAGAGAAAATTCTATAGAAAGCTATTCAAAAATAAAAACAGAGGCAACTGTGGTTGCCAGAGGCAGGGAGTGGGCAGCGGGTGAAATGAGTGAAGGAGCTCCAAATGTACAAACCTCCAGCTGTAAAGTCAATAAGTGGTGGCAATATAACGTACAGCATGGTAACTATAGTTAATAACACTGCGTGTTGGAAAATATGCAACAAGAACAAATGCTGCTGCAAGAATAAATGTTAAAAGTTGTCATCACAAAAAAAAACCTTTTGTAACTATGTACAGTGGCAGGTGTTAACTAGACTTATTGTGATCATTTCACAATACATATAAATATCAAATCATTATGCTGCATACCTGAAACTAATATAATGTTATATATTAATTACACTTCAATTTTAAAAATTAAAAATAAAAAACAGAGGCAGTTATTAACTCCAGGAAAAACAAAAATGGTATAAAAATGCAACCGTAATATACATTTCTCAGCAGTGAAGGGCATCTATAAATTGAAACAGTGTAAACACCAACTCTTGCTTGAACCAAAAATTGGATAGACAGCAAAGAGGAGAAGCCGAGAGAAAATTGCAGAGAGGAATATAAGACAGGGAAATTCTCAACCGCCTAGCAGTAAATCAAAAAATAATGTTAAGAGATCACAACATAAGAATATTATTAGACATGTGGAAGTACATACCAGAAGTAATTTCTATAAAGGATTAAAAGTGGTTATTTCTGGGGATTGGAAGTAGGCAATGAACAAGGGTTGAACACAGGGCCATTTTTTTTGTAGTAAGTGTTTTAGCACTACTTGAATTTTTTTAGTATATACATATAAAACTTTCATAGGACTCGTTTTTTTTAAACTGTGAGGACGGAGTAAGAAAGGTCTTTGGCTTCTGTGACCCCCTCTCTATTGACAAATGCTCACAGATATAAAGTGTTCCTGTTGAGATGATGCCCAGTTCAAGAGAGTCTCTAAGGAAACCATAATCCACTCAAACAGACTTTTAAAGACTAAACTCGTCTGGAAGTAAAAATCAAAAACATACTTAGTTCCATAGAAAACAAATTCAAATAAATAAAATATCAAGTTCCCTCTATGTTCAAGATAAAAAATCCATACATAATGGTCTTTCAGTTTTAATCCTCTTTGACGACATATGTATATATACATATATATACATACACACACACACACACACACACACAGCACATCACCCTTTATTCAAATCTCCCTAAGATGTGGGTTCTTATTTTTCATTTTTCACTTTTAATCACTTTGACTAAATGATTAACATTGTAACCCAGTTGTTGGTCTTTCTTTCTTTTAAGGTAGAGTTGTCAGATAAAATACAGGATGCTCAGTTAAATGTGAATTTCAGTTAAACAGCAATTTTTTTTACAAGTATGTCCCAAATATCGTGTGGGACATACTTATGCTAGAAATTATTCATTGTTTATCTGAAATTCAAATTTAACTAGGCATTCTCTGTTTTTATTTGCTAAGTCTGACGACCCTGTTTTAAGAGTTACTTCTGTCGAGCTCATCTGACATCTGCTTCTGAGTCCATCTAGGCGCAGCGGCTGTTCTTCACCACATGCTCTCTCGCCACCATTCTCAGCTCCGTCTTGAGCCATCATTTGTTTGTCCCTGGTCACTCCAGGACCTCCAAGGCTCTCATTTGTCCTGAAAAGGGTGCAACCTCTGGCTTGCTGGCCTCAGCCAAGGGGCGATGCAAAGCTGGTGGCATTTTCTTTTGCTGTCTGCCTCTTGACACTTGCCAACGCCACTAGAGTACAGTTTGTGCCTTTGTAAAAAGTTTGGTGACACAACACAGAACACTAAATGTGACTTAGAGTAAAATAGAAAAAAAGGAAAGCCTTCACTTGGGACCTTCTCATGGAAAACTCTGTTTCTTAGGTCACCTCCTTCTCCTGGGGTCCACGACCATCACATCCTCTTCTGGGGGGTGAAACCAGCTCCATTAGCCCTTTAGAATATGACTCCTCTCTC